AATTCTCCTCAGAGGCTTCAAATTGGCTGTTTTCATTTGACATTATGACTTTTGTTATTGGCTATTGCAACACAAATTTATGTGTTTATATGTCAATGAGCTTGTCATTGTCAATAGACTTAACAAGAATAAAAGAAAGACTTTATCCTACTTCTGACACCAATTGTTACGACTTACGGCTGTCTATATTTAGCGGCGTAACATTGTGGGGCTCCTTAATCTGATTGTTGAACGAAAGACAACAGGATATAATCTGTTTTTAATATTTTATTGGATTTTATTCAAATAAATGTACAAAAATACTCTTCTTTGGCTCTGCGGTCCTCACCTGAAATAAAAACAAACCAACCACCATTTCCAACAAATGTTAATTGAAAAACCACCCTTAAACAAACCCTTTAATAAACACGAATAGACCTTATATCTTAAGGTCTTGAATAAAAATTGAACTAGTGATTTCTTCCCCAGTGAGTATAAATATAAAATGTCAGGTTATAGCAAACAACTAATTGTATAGGAACAAAAAGGTATGCTAATTTCTCAATACAATGCATCTAGCATTTGTTAAGGGGGCTCTCTACACCTGTAAAGTAAAACTGATTTTTGTTGCATGCATTTGTTTCTAATAATAGGCCCCATATCCGATAAAATAAGGTTCCAAAGTACTTCAATTTATTTTTAGAAATATTTGATTTATTTTGTTAAAATCCGTCCTATCTATATTTTGAAAAGCCCAGTGCTTTAAATTTCTCTTTAATGTTTAGTGTTATAAAATATTGAAATAATAATACCAACAAAGATAAAATTAAAATCAACATAATTTTTATTTAAATTTACAAAAATAGATAAAAGAAAAACTAAAACAGCATTTTCTTGAGAATAGCTGGTTGGATCCTCTTCAATATCTGAAAAGATATATAATATCAAAGGGTGAAAACAATTAAAAAAAGAAATTGAAAAAAATTGAAAAACTGTCAAAAATTTATAATCATCACAAAAATTCAGGTGTGAGAGATCCGCTTTAAGGACACGTAATGATGAATTAGCTTGATGACAAGCCATGTTTTTATATCATGTTTTTCACCTAAATATCTTATTCTAATAAGTTTGTAAATATGTTTTAATAATAAAATAAGTAGAAATTGAATAAATTGACAAACATTTCATTTTTAAAGAAAAGATACGCATTGGCAATACACAATATTAATCGAGGTGATACAATTAAAATTCCATCCACAACATCGCATGTTGTGTTATATTCCGTGATTTATCGGTGTTAAGAGAATTTGAATCAGATTATTTGGGACCAAAATGGCGTTTCACAACAGAAGTTCGCCATGTTGTGACGTTGTAGAGAGCCCCCTTAAATGTGTATATAATGGCCTAACAAGTATTATGAAAAATCAGCAATTGACATAATGATAAAATTGTATTTGCTGACATGGGTATAAAACTTTGAAAACAATGACACTAAACGAAACAGCTGATATTTTTGTTTCATCAACTTTTTAAAAAATATTTTACCTCGTTTAAGAAATTGTTTATACGTAGAAGCAAGCTCTTGCATATCGAATCAACTGAGAAGGATATGGAAATAACGAACAGTATTCAATCTCAACGTCCATTAAACAAATATACAAAATAAGAGCAGAGCAAACACGGACCTCCGAAACATCAGAGGTGGGATCAGGTGCCATGGAGGAGTGAGCATCCCCTGCCGACCGGTCACACCCGCCGTGTGCTCGTTGTCATAATCAGGAAATAACGGAAAAAATCCGTGGTTAATTCAGTGTATAAATAATGGACTAACAATTGGTATGAAAAACGTCACACCTATGCAGTGATGCGGGTATATTGCTGCATAAGTAAGACGATTGAAAATTTCAAGTCCTCCCGTTAATAATAAGGCTAAGTTGATGCGGGATCGAATTCCCTCTTTGGGACGTGGAGACCGGTCATTCCGAACAAGACTGCATAGACCGAGATCCCATGTCCCAGTAGGTGCTGGCATGAAAATAGATTCCTCACTGCTCCATGCTCATGGGTGCCTTGTATATAGTTCGTAAAAACAAGGTTCACTTACATCTCTGGCCTTATTTGGCCCTGTGAAATGTCTTTTTTCAAGTAAAATATTACAATATGAAACAGATCTATTATACTCTGTGGTATCTTTTATTTTAAGCTCAACAGGATACATCGTATCGACATTAGGATTGGAATAACCATCAGTAAGTGACAATATATCGTCGATAGATCTAAATGTCAAGTTGAAGACCACAGCAAGTGTTTTCTTCTTTTCACATAAAAAGAACGAGTGCACTTATGGGCCCCAGTAAAATGTGAAAAATTAAAGAATTAAATTAAGCAAAATTTTTCATCCAAAATCATTGATTGATATATAAACCATACGATTCAACAAATTTTACCGCTGAAATCCAAGAATATACAAAGAACAAAACTATACAATGTACAATGTGGTTGGGATCAGTCGACATTTTTGATTTTCTATAAAAAAAAAATCAGAAACAGTCATTTTTTCGAAGATTCTGTTAACTATGAGCCTAACTTTGTGCAAACCTGTGCGAATGACAAAAGACGCATAATACATTAGTAAAACTTGTATGAAAGTACACGATAATAATGGCTGGTAATTAAAATATTTAAAATGTACAAAAAGTATAGTTTTTTTCCAATGGCAAGTGAGAGCTATTTAACTGTATGGCCCATGCTGAACCCATGTGTGGAATAAATTATTTGAAATACTGATAGTCATTTGAGTTCTACCCAGGTAAACATTCCTCTGCTCACTGTAAAACATAGGCAGGTTTTGTTTTAGTAAGTCAAAGTTGTGCCGCTAAGAGATATTTATATGTATTTGTTTTTTAGAACACGGAGGGTAAAGAGAACTTAGTACTAGTGTCGTTTATAAAAGTGTCAAACATTTTTAACCTTCATGCAAGACAATGAAACAGGTATTGAAAGCCACCTAAACACTTCATTTTAATTTTTAATGAATGAAACTTGTAATTTCTAAGATGCAAGAGTACCGATTTCTTAGTTTAATCATTTTAGTTACAGGCAACTGTACAACTTAATTCAATATTTTAAAGAAGTATCATTCCGCAAAGCACCCGATTATGATCCACCACCGGATTGCTCAAGTATCGATTTAAATATCTATTCTTCTTGATTTACATAAACGAAACTAAATCGCAGTAGGATCTTTATGATCGGAGAGCTCTACGCTCTCGACACGCTTATTTTGAACATGCTCAAAACAAGCGTAGCGGGATCGTGACCGACAAGAATCGGGGTTTAGTCGCATAAGAGCGTAGTAGAAGCGCTGTAATCGTACAGGCATCGCGGAACCAGCGTAGGAACTTACCAAGTACGCTTATACAACGCTCCCTCTACGTTCGTACTACGTTCTCCTTACGATCTCTCTACGTTCCTGAAGATCCTACGAAGACCTTCAATGACCTTACGCCGATCATATCACGACCTATAAGACAGAAAAAACTGCAGTCGAAAGATATGTATCATCGCTAAAATCGCACTACAAAAATCTGTCGTTGTAAGATATATTTACATCATTTCCAAATCGTACTAGAAGCGTAATGCAATCGTAATGTGATCGGCATCACCGTAACGACATCGCAGTACAGTCATCTAGGACTGGTCTGTGTAGCGTCGTAGTATGGTCTTCAATGTCGTAATGGCAGCGTAGCATAAACACAGTAAACACGGCTGCTTGTCGGCAACAGTCTTCGTAACATCGCACTAGAAGCGTGTTAGCAGGGAGTTTGACGTAGAGACATCGTAGTACGGTCGTAACGAAGACTATAATTTGCCAAATTGCTTTTTTTAGACGCCGATCGGCTGCGATCTGCCCCGATCCAAAAAAAAATTCAGATCGTAGCTTGATCGGGATGATCGCCGTAGAGTCGCAGCTCTGTGTGAACGCGAGGTTAGGAATATTAAAATTATTCAAAACTGACATACGGATTTGAAGAATTTCCTCAGTAAAATAAATTGGATAACCACTGGTGGAATGAAATCCCAGTTCTTCTAAAATAATTTTATATAATGAGCTTTACAAAGACAATTCTGTTACCTGCTTTGTCTGTTTGTTCTTTTTTTTCACATATGATTTACTGAACACAGAAGAATTGTTGGTTTTCATTTTTATTTAAAATGAATAACTTTCACTTTTATCGTATGAGAGAACAATTAACATTGAAATATCATTATGTTGTGATTAATATTGTATTATGAATAGGCCTATTTCTTTAAGAATGCACAACTAGAACAGGCAAAAAGTCTATCAAATGCGCTATGGCTCTTTACATTTGTGAACATAATTTTGACACTCAGCGCCGATGTCTAGTACAACCGTTACTATAAAGGCCTGATTACTTGATATCGCGATTACTTAACTTGGGAGAACTGTTTCGCAAACGAGGTAGGAATCGTCTGTTGGGTGGGGGCAATGTCCTATTCAATACAATGCAAGATGGATCATTGTAGCATTTATAAGGAAAGATAAGTAAAAAATCCTGGTGGAATACCTCGCCTAACAATAGCTGAACCAGCCTTATATATTTTTGAGAGGAGCCAATCCTAAATTGTCTCATTTTTAACGATGATTTTAATTAAGCGGACTCTTATCGTTAAATTTTCATTGAAAATCGTCACATTTATTTATAAGCAGATGAAATATTTTAACTTTCCTTATTTGATAATGTACCATTTGGAGTTTAATATCTGACAAAACATCGTGATTTCGGAATTAAATTGTTCGAATCATATGATTGTCACTACTGTAAACAATGTCATTTGCCCCCAGAATTATAGACTTTTCTCGACTCCCACACAAAGCAGTGGTAGTAAGCTAGATAACTTCGAGGTACTCATTGGGAGTCGCGATATAACGTAAGTTGGTTATGTATAGATTACAACTTCATATACTAAAATAACAAACTTCGATATTCTCTGTAAGTATTTCTAAGATTTACTTAAAATATTGCAAAAATTCACTCTAAATAATTCAAAATCAATTGTTCCATGTCCAGAAAGTTAGCACACACACTTATTTTTTACCTCTTTATCATTTTATTGAATCTCACTGAATCTCACTGAAATGTTATCAGATAGCCAGGGTAGCCTTGGGTATCATTGAATATAATATACATAGCTGGACTTGATACATTGTTGACAACTGAGTCATATAGAATATGTGACTGTTGACCCTTTGAAGGTGGCACTCTCATTCCAGCCTTGCCTAAAGTGAATTCTCCGGTCAGAACTTTACACAAGTACATCAGCTTATTCCCACTTGGGTCTCGTCTGGAATATTTGTCCTGTGCAGAATATCCTGCATTAACAGCAAAATAAACTCCTTCGCCAAATGCCGTTGCTATAAATAAAAAAATATCAGCAGATGGAAATTAATTTATTGATATCTTTAAATACAGAAAAATAAAGTGATCTTTTTTTTAAAGTTTATTCAAATCAAAGTCACAGTCACTTCTAGTCATGTAAATGTAACCATCTTTGAGCATAAACTCATTGAAAGTAAACTGCTTCTCTCATGTAGCATATGACAAAAAGGAAATTTTTGGTTTCGGTGATGGTTTGAATTGAACTTGTGAAAAGTATAAAGCATATCCAAGTTTTATATATTAAACATAGTTCAAATAAAACATGCTTAAGCACTACAGGGTTTCAAATAATGCATATTTGTTTTGGAAATATCTATGATACACTGCCATGATATTAAACCTTTTGTGTACAGATATATTTACGTAGAACTAGTTTCACAAATGGACAGATTGTGTTTTCAGTATACCTTCCCAGCAAGTTTAAAGTTTAGCTTCTCAGCACTTTTCTGATTGGAAAATCTTGAAATGAACTATTGAGTACTATCATTTAATCCTCCGAATCCAAAAGGGATCAACTTTATTATAACATGAACGAAGCTCTAAACTAATTGTTAACAGTAAACCATACCGTTTTTCCCACAGTAGCTCCTGTTGAATCCTAAGGAATTGATACTGTTGACAGCCTCTGGAGCAGTTCCATGCCACAGTTCTCTCTCATTCTGTGTACCAGGAGGGTTCTGGGTATCTAACAACTTCTTTTTGGCAACATACTGCTGGTACAACATCTTGTTCTGTATTCTCTCCAACTAAATATAAAAATCAAAGTACTGAAAGCACTCATAGGAGGTTGAACATGGTGTAAAATAAAATCTTTTATCGGGAGGTTAAGTAAGTGAACAATATTATTATTTCAAATACAGACAAGAAACATATTGACGCAAGCGTCAAAAATCGGCCGCAAACCAATTAATATAACTGTTGAAATTATTTTAGAACCTGAAATTTGCTGGTTTTTTGAAATTTTTTTTTTCATTTTTTTGTTAAAATATCCTCGTGACACCAAAAAAAATGCATGCGACAATGCCGATTTTATTCATGAATAATGCATGTACAATATTACATGTATAGGCAATATAAACTGTGCATAGTCCTCTGAGTCTCTGCACTCAGTTTGATACAACTTAACGAACTCTTGTGAGTTTGCTGTTTAAGTAGTTTTACAAAAAACGAACAAAACTAAAGTTTAAACTTAGCTATAGTTTAACTTAATAAAAACGCAACAAATATATAATATGTGGGGCTCCTCGCTCTCTCTCTTAGAGGATGTTACCCCCCCCCCCCCCCCCGAACTCCTTCTAGATCCACCACTACAATTACTTCTCTTTCAATCTCTGTTTTGGTGTTGAGATGTGGCGGGAAAGTGTTTGGCACATTGTAAAACGCGCTCTATCCTAGTCTCCTGGACGAACATGTCGTAATATTCTTTGCTTTTAAGAAATCAATATTTCATCATATTTTTGAAAAACATCTATAGGAAATGTTTAAATATACACTTCATTTCAAATAAATACAGCAGATCCTGTTTTAAAAACAGAAAGTAAAATTGTTGATTTACAACGCGGTCTTTGTTTTAGACTATGCCTAACACTCGTACCAATTTCTCCGCACTTCAGTTAAATCAGAGTTTGTCAATCAGGATTGGATGAAATATTTACCCCATTATTTATAAAATTTAATTTTACGATTATTGTGCTTTTTCTAAACGTTTAGACAATCTTTGTGTAATGTTGACTCGCAAGCGATATGAACATGATGAATGTTGAATATTTTTATTTAAGTTAACTCCGCAGAAACGCACAGCGACTTAAAACTTTCATATCATATAACCGACCGCCTCCTGGCGGCCGGTAACAACACTCTGTCACCCAGTCTGTGGTGATTCAGTATAAACAACATGTGTAACATCACTAGGGGTGGGATTTCCAATGTAGGACAACGATTTTTGTCACTGGTCCTCTGCTCTAGAATTAGTTCATTAATGTATGAGTATTCATTGTGTAACCTAACATCTTTCACTACAGCAATCCTTTTACGAGATAGAGACATTCCAATCGTGCAACGTCTATAGTTATCTAAATTACCATGACCCTCGTATATAATGTATGGCTTTGTCATTCTGTTCTGTGCATTCTGTAAATAATTGAGTGACTCTTCATATCTACACATTTTGAAGAAATACATTGCAAGATACAGAATATCTGAGGCACAACCTAATGTACATGACAGTTTTAACAATTTGGATACGTTACTAGCTTTGTAATAAACCTTATTACGATTTTTATGTTGATATACATCACACAGTTTCAGCATGGCGGTGTGACGTAATATTTCAGATGTCATAAATTGTACAATAGTCTCGGTATGGCTTCAGTCTTTTACTAATCTCTATTTCAATGTTCTTCATGAGAGCTGCAAATTCTACAACACTTGAAATTTGAGGCTAAATCCATTGAATTCCTCAAATAAACTTATTTCAAGTTCAGAGTTTGTAATGATGCTGTCCTCGTCAGTACAGATTTTCAATGTTCTGTATAAAATGGCTTGACTGAGAAACGGTCTTAACGTTTCACTCAGTAAAAGACTTGGTATACCCTTGCAATACAATTCATACAACTTATTAAACAATAATGTTTGTATGGATCCAGTTACTTTAAGACTGAAACATATTATTTTCCGGAATAAAAAAGTTTGGGCATTTTCCAATAAAAACCATATATATCAATAATTTAAAGCCTTGCCAGAAACAAGGCAATAAATTTTCAGGTGTCCAGGACAAGGAATTATTATTCTGTATGACCCAAAGCACACAGCAGTTTTTGTGAAGTATGAACAAAGAACAGGAGAATCGTCCATATAATTAATTACTTCCTTCAGAAATATTTTGAAGAGACCATAACATAAAAACTGAGAGTGATTGATTGCATGAATTATTTTTTGTTCTGCGTATGAGAATGAAATTCTCCATTCAAGTATGTTGTCAATTGTGCTACCGATAGGAACAATGGAATCCTTCGTTTAATATATCTGATATAACTGCCTCAGAGGGCCAACCTTGTTGACGACATCTATGTATCCATGGTAAAGCTAATGCCGGCCAGTGATGGGATCGAAAACAGAATGCATAATCTACATCTAAGATATTATCTTCGCAAAATGTAGCACAGGGTCCATGAGACTCGGGAAAGGAATATATAAAACAGGGGTGTAGCAACGGTAAGTGGCTATCTCGGAATGAAATACTAGATATATAGATGTTGTTATTGATCACTGCACAGGAGGATCTGACTTCATTATTATTTGATGGACTCATTAGCTTTAATCTGGTAAATCCCGGTGGTAGATCATCACACTCCATCAAGATCACAGTGTGTTGTGGAATACGATAGAGACTGATTTGAGAAGAATCACATATCACCATGTGATCTGGAGGCCAGAACATCCAATCAGCATCAGAAGTCTCCAGTCTGAATCCCTCACTTCTACTCCCACTCATCATTCTACCATATCTCCTCATGATGAAAACAGGTTTCATCACCACCTCCTCAGTGTCCTTCACTTCTCTCCTGATCTTCACTTCTGTTGGACTCCCTATTTTACACACAGTCCCACGTACGCAGCCTCTGACATTCGGGGGATATGGTCCCATTATGATGATATTCTGAAATCATAAGATAGTGTGTGCATGTAAATAGAAGTGACGTCGTCATGATCTTTGTATTGTCGTATTTTATTTCATTCATTTCATTTATGTATTTTTTAAAAAATCTTTTAAGCACATTGATACGTGTATATTTCTTTCTGCTGTTTAATATTCAAAGGAATAATGGCCAGTTTACATAATCAATCTGCAAAAGAATTGTACTCTTGTATATAAAAGGTTATACGAGTAAAACAGTGATGTCGCCAATTCCGGGTCACGTCAGGGTGTTTCATTAATATTTTGCAATACTGTTAGGTTTATATTTCATGCAATATATATTAAAAGTACAAAGAGTAAGTCATTCAAAAACCTTTTTGCTTTCATAGTAGCTACACGGTAACAATACTTACAAGGGTATTTCATCAAGGCCTACCTTCCCCAGTTACGATTTATTTTCTCTGTTTCCGGTTCATGTGACTTCAGGGTCTTGTAATAGTCATGCATCGTTTTGGAACACGATTTTTATGATGTAGAAACATGAAAGAATTCATACAGCTTAGGAAAAAGTAAACAACAACAGAAATATGCTTAAGTAGGAATGCCACACCAACTTTTTATTTTTTGAGTCTCTGATTCTCTGAGTCAACCTTTTTAAACAAAGGTTTCACCATTGAAAGGCCGTCATTGGCTCTTAATTGTTCTATATGATTTTTTTTTTCACAAAAAATTTTAAAAAATATTTACATGCAAATTAGATGTATTCTTGTTAAAAGTTTGCTGTAAATGAATGCATCACATTGTTGATTACCTATTAAATTATGAGAAGAAATGGCCTATAGATATTATTTTTTTTTTAAATAAAAAAATATTTATGAAAAAACACAATTTGTGAATATTTTTTAAACTTCTGGTTAAAATTTTCTTAAAACCAGTCACAACTGGGAAGAACATGTTCTAAATCATATTTATAAAAGAAATTGACACGAAATAGCCAAATTTTACAGAAATTATTATTTTTATACCCGCACTTTCTAAAGAAAGTTCGGGTATATTGTTGTTACTCATGTCCGTCCGTCCGTCTGTCCGTCCGTCCGTCCGTCTGTCACACTTTTCTTCCCTGAACTCCTCCAACATTTTACACAGTAGCTTAATCATCTTTTGGGAGATGGTTGGTGGGGTCATGAAGATGTGCAGTAAGGTTTTGGAATTTTAATTTTGCCCCAGGGGGTCAAATGGGGGTCGAAAAATGACGTTTTTTAAGCAAAAAGCTCTGTCTTCCCTGAACTCCTCTTACATTTTATTCAGCAGCCTAATCACCTTTTGGAAGATGGTTGGTGGGGTCATGTAGATGTGCAGTAAGCTTTTGGAATTTTGATTTTGCCCCAGGGGGTCAATTTGGGGTCGATATATGATGATTTTTATGCAAAAAGCCCCGTCTTCCCTGAACTCCTCTTACATTTTACTCAGGAGTCTAATCATCTTTTGGGAGATGGTTAGTGGTGTCATGTAGATGTGCAGTAAGGTTTCAGAATTTTGATTTTGCCCCGGGGGGTCAATGGGGATCGAAAAATGATTTTTTTAATGCAAAAAGACCCTTCTTCCCAGAACTCCTCTAAGATTTTACTCAGCAGCCTAATCATCTTTTGGGAGATGGTTGGTGGGGTCATGCAGATGTGTAGTAAGGTTTCTGAATTTTGATTTTGCCCCAGGGGATCAAATGGGGGTCGAAAAATGACGTTTTATATGCTAAAAGCCCCATCTTCCCTGAACTCCTCTTACATTTTATTCAGCAGCCTAATCATCTTTTGGGAGATGGTTGGTTGGGTCATGTAGATGTGCAGTTAGGTTTCGGAATTTTGATTTTGCCCGGGGGGTCAAATGAGGGTCGAAAAATGACGTTTTTTATGGAAAAAGCCCAGTCTTCCCTAAAATGCTTTTTCGTTTTAAACAGTGGTCTTATCCTCTTTCGGGAGAGTTCACTCTTTTGAAATTTTGTTAAAACATCAAGGTCAAGGGGTAAAAAATCATAGCATGTTGGGAAACATCCTGTTATGGGTAATGTTCACTTGAAATGTGAAAGTCGAATCTCTTCTCAATGAAAAGGAAATACAGCATTAATTAAAACTAAGTT